GATACATTGAGCACGTTTGATGCTATAATAGGCTTCGATTCGCTAACGCGAGCAGGAGTAGCATGGAACCTAGGCAGCAGCGTGATAAAATATGCAAATGTCACTGAAAAGCTCAAATTTTTTGACTGTCAAAATGTCAATTTCACCAGAATCGATGACATAGTGGTGCCAAGTTCGGCTAAAGCCGAATTCAAAAAAACTATTCTGAAAAGAATTAAGGTGTTTTCAACCTCTAACGAGGCGCTCACCTTCAACACATCGGTCATCGCTACTATTCGAACTACGAGTAACGAACCTGTCTACTCCAAGTTATACCCCTACCCTATGGGGGCAGCAGACTTTGTAAACAACGAAATCAAAGAACTGCTGCAAAACGGCATAATCAGGCCGTCCAGATCCCCATACAACAGCCCTGCCTGGGTAGTTGATAAAAAAGGGACTGATGATAATGGCAGTAGAAAGAAGCGATTAGTAATCGATTTCAGGAAGCTGAACGAGCGAACAGTCGCCGATCGCTATCCCATGCCGAGCATACCCATGATTCTAGCAAACTTGGGAAAAGCCAAATTTTTTACTACCCTAGACCTGAAGTCAGGGTACCACCAAATATACCTGGCTGAAAAGGACAGAGAGAAAACCTCGTTCTCAGTTAATGGTGGGAAGTACGAATTCTGCCGACTACCCTTCGGCCTAAAAAACGCAGGGAGTATTTTCCAAAGAGCCATCGACGATGTGCTGCGGGAAGAAATCGGCAAAATATGCTACGTCTACGTTGACGATGTTATCATCTTTTCCGAAAATGAAACGGAACATGTCAAGCATATCGACACGGTGCTTAGGCGCCTACTCGATGCCAACATGAGGGTGGCACGAGAAAAAACAAAGTTCTTTAAAGAGAGCGTTGAATTCCTAGGGTTCATTGTTACCAGAGGAGGGACAAAAACAGACCCAGAAAAGGTTAGGGCAATAAAAGAGTTCCCAGAACCAAAAAATCTGTTTAGCCTCAGGTCCTTCCTAGGCCTGCCGAGCTATTACAGAAGCTTTGTAAAAAACTTTGCATCTATAGCTAGACCCCTGACCGCCATCCTCAAAGGGGAAAACGGGACGGTCAGCAAGAATATGTCGAAAAAAGTAGCTGTCAGGTTTAATGAAACCCAGTGAAATGCATTCGACCACCTTCGTAACATTTTGGCATCCGAAGATGTCATATTGACATACCCTGATCTCAAATCACCGTTTGACTTAACCACTGACGCCTCAGCGAGTGGAATAGGCGCGGTACTGTCCCAGAATAATAGACCTATTACTATGATTTCACGCACGCTAAAAGACTGCGAGCTGAACTACGCCACAAACGAAAGAGAATTATTGGCGATAATCTGGGCAATAGGCAAACTCCAGAATTACCTGTACGGTAACAATGAGGTACGGATCTTCACAGACCACCAGCCTCTCACGTATGCGGTATCCGAAAAAAATACCAACGCTAAAATCAAGCGATGGAAAGCATTCATTGATGAGAACAACGGGAAAGTATTTTACACACCCGGAAAACAAAACCTGGTAGCTGACGCATTATCAAGGCAACCCCTGAATAACTTAGAGGCTGAAGCCCAGTCTGACGCGGCTACGGTGCATAGTGAGCTTTCACTCTCGTACACCATAGATACCACAGATAAACCTCTTAACTGCTTTAGAAACCAAATTATTTTGGAAGAAGCGGACCATCCGCTTCGGCGAGATTTCATAGTCTTTGGAAACAGAACTCGTCATATCATCAATTTTAATAACAAGGACTTGCTTGTTGAATCCGTTAAAGAGATCATCAACGCCAACGTTGTGAACGCGATTCACTGCGATTTACCTACCCTAGCTCGCATCCAACATGCCTTGAGGCAGGAATTTCCTGCGACAAAGTTCTGTCATTGTAAAACCTTTGTCAGTGACATAACCAACGCTAATGAACAGTTGGAAATCACTAACACCGAGCACAATCGCGCCCATAGGGCTGCCCAGGAGAACGCAAAACAAATTCTCCGGGATTATTACTTCCCGAACATGTCAAAATTAGCTAGCGAAGTAGTCGCAAATTGCAAGGTCTGCAATAAAGCCAAATACGACCGCCATCCCAAGAAACAGGAATTGGGAACTACGCCCATCCCATCATACGTTGGGGAAATGTTGCATATCGACATTTTTTCGACCGACAAAAAAATTTTCTTAACTTGCATTGATAAATTCTCCAAATTCGCTATCGTACAGCCCTTGATTTCCAGGGCAATAATAGATGTACGAGCACCTATTCTTCAGTTAGTAAATTTTTACTCTAACACCAAAACTATATACTGCGACAATGAGGCCTCCTTTAACTCAGAGACAATCACGTCATTGCTGAAAAACCAATACAGCATCGACGTTGTCAATGCGCCACCGCTACACAGTAGCTCCAATGGCCAAGTTGAGAGATTTCACAGTACCCTGGCGGAAATTGCCAGATGCCTCAAAATTGATAAAAAAATCGAGGACACTGTGGAACTAATATTGAGGTCTACTATAAAATACAACAGGTCGCTACATTCGGTCACAGAGTCTAGGCCGATAGAGGTCATCCACGCAAGCAGCGATGAGATGAAGCTGGCAATTAAAGCCAAGATTGACAAAGCACAACAATCCAACCTAGATAGGGTTAATCCTTCTAGGCAAAACAGAGTCTTCGAAGTCGGCGAAAGAGTACACCTTCGCAACAACAAAAGATTAGGGAATAAATTGACACCGCTTTATTCAGAAGAGCGTGTAGAAGCAGATCTGGGAACATCTGTTCTCATTAAGGGGAGGGTGGTCCATAAGGACAACATTAGGTAGGCACTCCACTCGCCACATTCGCCCTTATATTAAAACCCAATCTTTGCTAAATTCCCACAGGCTCTCCATTATATGCATCATACTGCTGTCCACCGCGAGCGCGAGAATCACTGATTTCTCGCACGCTAAATACATCCCGGTGCTAGATGGCAATGTCTTAATATGGGAACAGTACGGCCTGGTCAGGCACTCGACAAATCTGTCCGAGTTTGCCATCATTATCGACTCCACAATCAAAATGCTAGAACTGTTCCCACAGTCCCATATGAGGAAGCTGCTGGAAGTGGACATTGAGCCTGCTCAAAACCTATTGGAGGAACTAAAGATACACCATAGAATGGCCAGGAGCCTTGATTTTTTGGGCTCAGTCCTTAAGGTCGTAGCGGGTACACCCGACGCGGAAGATTTAAGTAGAATCAACACCAATCAAGCGTCGCTTATCGAGGCTAATAACAGACAGGTTGTAATTAACACAGAGACACAGAAGCACATCAACCTACTCACAGACACAGTAAACAAGATACTCAGGGAGAAGAGGGACGGGCTTGTCGACTCAGGCCATTTGTATGAAACACTCCTTGCCAGGAATAGAATGTTAATATCAGAAATCCAGAATTGCATGATCACCATCACTCTTGCTAAAAATAATATCATCAATCCTACCATTTTTAATCACAATGACCTAAAGGCTATTTTCGACGAACAGCTAACAGAGGTCCCTATAGTTAGCCTTATGGATGTATCTAAGATTAAAATTCTTCAAAATAATGTTCTTGTCCACGTTATAGTCCAGTATCCTAGAGTTAAGCGTATTTGTAAAAAGGTCCTGCTCTTCCCTGTTGCACATTACCATACTATGCTACAAATAGAAAACAACATCGTGGCTGAATGTGATGACGGAATCCTAGCAGTCTCAGGTTGCACTTCTACCAATTTGGCCACATTTTGCAAAAAAGCGCCCCAAGACACCTACATGCAGGCGGGGCGGCTACATGCCGGACGCGGCCCAGCAATCTGGAACCCCTTACAATTGTGGACGACGGAGTAATTATCATTAATGAGAAACTGACGAGGATTACCATCGATGACGGTCCCACAACGACCATAATAGGGACCCACCTCATTACTTTTGAGAGAAAGGCGGTGATCAACGACTCCGTATATTTGAACCTCAACCACTCAGTGAATATGAGCCCGGGAATTGCGGCCTCCCCCTTAATTAACATCACGGGACACGATCACATACTGAGTCTACCATTGCTACAGCGGATGAACGAGCATAACCTGCGTTTACTGCAGGAGCTACGGGATGACGTGTCGGATGGAGGTTCCCCGAGGATTTGGTTCGCCGCAGGAGTTGCCGTCAGCCTCATGCTATGCGGCTTGGTCCTGCTCCAACAACACTGCAGGCGCAAACGAGAGGCAGCCCAGCTACAAAAGTCCATCGACGAACTGGCTGTCACCGAGGACGGCGTCCAATTTAAGGGGGGAGTAGTTAACAACCAACCCCCAGCTTAGGCTGAGCAGGCCAGTTCTTACTTACCTTATTAATGTTAATCATTTATTATGTTTACCATTCTCTAGTATTAATCACTTTTTATTATTATCAATATTATTATTACATTTCTCCCTCATGCATGGTCCACCCTAAATCGGGTCCGACTTATTGGCCCTAGAGCTGAGCCAGCACATTGTACCATTCCGAGCCGTGGCTCCCTTTCATTGGCTGACAACGATCGTATGACTTTTGCAAAATGTGCAAGGTCAGCGGTCTGCCACGGGCATCCGGCTATGCATGAGTTTTTGTTCAATCTTAAGTTTAGTTTTAATTTGGATTTGAAATAAAGAGCTCCAGCTCGTTCATAAAACTCCGGCCTTAGCCGTTATATTATTTTGATTATCGAGTTTGGTTATCGTGCCTTAAGGGCCGTGACATCGGAGATAAGTATCTCCCACCGTATACTTCGGAAGAAGCAAGGGAGTCGAAGCTACCACCCGACTCCGCTGTGGCTGCCAATCTTGGTGGCCGCCAACAATCAATCAGCGGGCAGTACTCTACTGCCACCCCCCTACGGATATATCTCTACCCCTGCCGCGGAGGAGCCGCCAGCCGGCACGGATAATTAAATAATTTACATACTAAGTGATGTATAAGTTATCAAACAACCAATATGTACAAAAATACTATAACATTGAAAGTAATGCAATAGCCTTCAAGATACTATATGTAAGGTTTAGCATCTCAAAGCTTAAACAATTCGCTCCGATTCGGAAGCGGAGGCTTCGTTCATTTTGGGCGCACAGATTCGTTTGTAGAGATAGATCCCGAGCAGCGGGAAGGGCGTCATCACGGCCACCGCAACCGGCACGACCGTGGTGAGATCCGACTCCGGAGATTCCAGCGTGGTTGTGAGAAGGAAGATGGCGATACCCGTGTTCTAGATGCCGGTCTCAATGGCTATGGTGAAGGCGTCGGCAGCATTCTGATGGAGCAACTTGGCCGCCAGCCAGGCGAAGATGTAGCCCAGCCCAGGCAGAGCCAACCCAGCTACGACAATCTGCCAGGAAAACAAATAGAACAGGTAATAGTTGGTGATGATGGCGAAGACGACGATGAACAGGATGAGGCAGGTGGATATGGGCTTGAGCAGGCGGACCAGCACCCTGGCGATCCGGGGCAGTCGCCTCTGGACGAGCAGCCCGACCAGCAGTGGAAAGATCAGGCCGCCGCAGTAGGTGGCGATCTTTTGGTAGGGCACCTCCGTGCCCACCCGCTCAAAGACCAGCTGGCCGAGTGTGAAAAGCCACATTGGCATGGTGGCAAAGGCGGCTACATTGCTGATGGTGGTCATTAGCACCGACAGGTGCATATTTCCGATGCACCGCCGCTGGGCGAGATTCCGGTGAAGAAGAGCCCCAGCTGCATGGCCGGTGCATTGGGGAAGATAAAGATGCCCAGTGCGTAGCTCAGCAGCGGCATGCCCACCACCTGCATCACGAATCCGATGCACGGACCGAGCGGCCGGGTGATCAGACCCCTCAGCACCTCCAGATCCAGGGCGGCTCCGAAGTTGATGTACAGCAGCGTCATCAGCACAATGACGGTGTGCACGAAGACGAGATCCACTACACGTCTTGGACGCAGAATCTTCACATCCAGCGTGCTGTCGTTGCTCCAATTGGTGGGCAGTTCACTGGTGTTGCCCCGGTTGTCATACAGTCGCACTTGCAACTTCGTCTGGCCAAGGAAATGAGCATTGACCACGATCGTGCCCGTCCAATCGCGTGTCTCCGCGTGGTAAATTGTCTAAGATTCTCTCCTTTCCACAAATGGGTCATAAACATGTCATAAAAGGGATTCAAGCAAGAGCTACCCCAACATGCGCACCTGTCAATTACCTGACCGCAATAAAAGGGACACACGCGCAACCCAGAAGGCGCACCGTCATAGACAAGATCATGGGTCTCACGCCAATCATTCATTCATTTATTTTGGTATTGCGAACATTTTTGTTATACATATCTGCTTTGATTCCGGCGATTTGCATAGAAGAAGCCGGCGCGCGTTTCCGACGTCATTTCTGGATTACAAAATGTAAAGTGTTCTCCATAAATCGTAGTTTTGAGATCATGTTCACTTCGATTCAAGAACATAGTTTTTGTGTCTAGAAGGTATTGAAAATGCTGACCAATTATCTCTCCTTTAAATTGTTCAATAAAATGGTAAATTTCCTCATGAAATTTTATTTTGTCAATTTTGTTTTCTTGTAGATTTTTACACATCTAGTCCCAACTTTAAAAGGATGTATAACAATTATTTTGTTGTTTTGGAGCTACTTTTAAAAAATGTCAAAATATTGTATGCATTGTTAAGAGCACAAACCCCGCCCTTAAGGTGTGTTTCACAATAGGGAAACCGGTTTCCATACAACCTGTTTAATGACGGGCAGCCCATTTCCTCGATATTAATGAGCTGACGACTTCCAAAAAACGTCTGTAGAAATCGTTTCTCTTCCACACCTTTACAAATAATTTGTTTTCCGCTTGTAATTGTCCTTAGATACTTTCGAGTTTTTAAGAAACTGTTTTCTACATCGTTCCAAAAAATTTTGTGATGTGTATTGGTTAACCAAATTGCAGTCATTCGAGATTTTGTAATTACTTAAATACTTATTCTATCTTGTTATTATGTTTATTCTATAATCTAATTTTAAATATTGGTTGTTGTTTAAGATATTTACAAAGAATTATCTTACAGTTCGGCCATCCTGACATTTAATCGACTTGATTATATCTCTATCTAAATTTTCTGTTTTCTTAAATTGTATCTTGGATAAGTCTTTTGTGTCCTGTTATTTTCAACATTTCTGCAATATTTTATATTGTTTTTAACCTCTGACCTTGTTTCGTTGTATTCTTATTCTTTAATTTGATTTTGCATTTCAACTTCCTTTCCGTGCTTTTCAATATCATCGTCTAAGTCTTGCTTTTCAATTTCATCGTCTAAATCTTCCTTTTCAATTTCATCGTCTAAGTCTTTCTTTTCAATTTCATCGTCTAAATTTGTCGTTTCGCTTTCTTTTCTAAAACTTTCGTTTCACTTTCTATCCATATCTTCATATTCGCCGCTTCCCATATTCCTTTATAAGGTATTTGTGATAATTGAAATCCTTCGACATCTGATACTGCATATCTATCATTTTCTAAAGCCTCATCCACTTTGTACGGACCTTTATATTTCGGTATTATCTTCTTGCATGCCCCTGGTACTCAAACAAAATTGTTCAAAACAACGTAGTCACCTCTTTTAAATTTTTTAATAATTCTACCCTTATTTTTAATTTGTTCATTGTATTTTTGACTATTTATTATTTTATTGCTTGCATTGTTTCTTATCTCAATAAGATTTCTTTCTCGATTCCATTCGTCCAACTCTTCTTTTAAGAAGCCGATTACTACTCCTCTTTGGCGTACACCAAATAGTATCTAGCTTGCTGTTGTTCCAGTACTTTTATGTGACGTGTTGTTTAAAGCAAACTCTATTTCTGGTAGTACATTGTCTAAAGTTTTCTCTGTTCCTGCACTCGTTAATTTGGCTAACATTGGTCCGAGACACCTATTTATGCGTTCCACTTGCCCATTTGCTTGAGGTGAACCGGTGGCTACTTTTATATGCTTTATATTATGTTTTCAGAAATTCTTCAAAGTCTTTTGAAGTGAATGCGGTTCCCCGATCTGAAACTATAACCTTAGGACGACTTTAAGAAGTAAAGAAATTTGAAAAACCTTTTGTTGCACTTTTAGAATCAGTTGATTTAGTTCCATATAGTTTAACAAATTTTGAAAGTCCATCAACCGCTATTAAAACATGTTTGTTTTGTCCGTTTTTAATTTTTTGCGGGTCGAAATGATCTATATGTACTATGTCAAATGGTTTGTCACCCTTTGGTATACTGCGTAATAAACCTTCGCGTTTCCCACATTTAGATGAAAATGTTATACATTTTAAACAGTTATGTATGTGTTGTTTAAATTTATCAGATAATTTAGGAAACCGATAAGATCTTATTATAGCATTGTATACTTTTTCGTAACCTCTGTGTCCCATGTTGTCATGATATATCGTTAAAATATTTCTTTCCATGTTTGCTGGTACATAAAATAAAATATTACCAATAAATTTTCGATAAACATTTTCATTTCATTTTTTTTCATTTCAAACGCATTACTTTCTTCTTTCTCTAATCTTTGACGTATTTCATGGATACCACTGTCTTTGTTTTGGCAAATTAAAATGTTTTGTTCTAACGTGTTTTCTTCTAATACTAATATATTCGAAATTCTACTCAAGGCATCGACATGCTGCATTTGGGTACCATCACGGTGTTCAATATCGTAATCGAAGTTTTCTAATTCAAGCGCCCATCTAGCAATTCTTGGGTTTATTTCTCATTTATTTAATGTTAAAGAATTGAATTGAATTTCTTTCCCTGTAAGTATATTTTGAACCTTCTTAAAGCGTATATTATAGCAAGCGTTTCGAGCTCAAAGCTATGATATCTTGATTCGTAATCTGACGTTTGTTTTGAGAAAAAAAATATTGAATGCATTTTATTGTCGTCTTTTCCTTGCATTAACATTGCTCCAAACCCAATTGAACTGGCGTCGCAATGTAGTTCTGTTTCATGTTTTGGATCGTATAAAGAAAGGATTGGAGCATTTATTAACATGTTCTTCAGGTTTTCGAAACACTGAATTTTATCTTCACCAAACTCGAACTTTGCGTCCTTTTTAATGATATTATAAAGTGGTTTTGCTTTAATGAAAAATTCTTTTATAAACTTTCTAAAATAGGAACAGAGTCTTAAAAAGCTGTGAACTTTTTTTGCATTTTTTGGAATCGGGAAGTTTTTTATTGCTTCTATATTTTTGTTATCTGGCCGTATTCCTTTCTTAGATACAATATAGCCAAGATATTCACACTGTTCTTCCATAAACCTACACTTGTCAATCCTAAGTTCCAATTTATTCCTTATTAATCTTTGAAATACTTCCGTCAACGTAATTAAATGTTCCTTAACTGACTTTGATGCTATCATTATATCATCTAAGTAATTGGCAACCTTTCCAGCTCTAATCATATCATCAAACACCCTATTTACGAATCTTTGAAATGTGGCTGGCGCGTTTCTCAGACCGAATGGGACTTTAATATATTCGAATTTACCCATGGGCGTTACAAACGACGTATACTTTACAGAATCTTCGTGAAAAGCACTTTTTAGATCTAGCAGTGTAAATATTTCTTTGTTTGCAAGACTATCTATCAGATCCTCGATCAACGGTAAAGGGTAATTATCTTTTTGAGTATTTTTATTTAATGTTCTGTAGTCAAAACATAGTCTAATATTACCTGTCTTTTTTCTAACCAATACAATTGTAGAAACAAACTCTGACTGGCTTGGCCTTATTATTTCATTCTTTGTTTACTCATCTAATATTTCTTGGACTTTTTCCTTTTCTGAGTACGATAATCGGCGGGCTTATAATGGTAAGGCTTCTCATTATTAAGAATCAATTTTAAGGCATTTAGTTTCCGGCTTCTTAGGGATTTCAGTATTTAAAAAGTATTGCTCAAAGATTTGTTGTAACTTAAAATGATATTTTTAATGTATATTAGTATTGTTAATAATTAATGTATTTTTCTCGTTATCTAATTCAATAGCCATTAGGTTTCGACATTCACTTTCTATTTCGGACATATGTTCTTTTTTTTGGTTCAAGTACAACTCGTTGTTACATTTTTTTTGTTGGCTAATTTTTCTTCCTTGTCGTATAGTAGTCTAAATAATTCTTTCATATTTTGTTTACTTTCGTCTTTACTTACTTTGTTTTCTAATCTTAGTTTACTTTCTTTTATTAACACAAATCTTTCCTTTTCTAAAAAAATCTGTTCCCAATATTGCAGGCTATTCCATTGTTTCATTAGGTACAACAACATTTTTTTTTATTAAATTCTTGGTTTTCAAATATGTTTTTACATTTAACTATTCCAATGAAAATCAGTTTACTTTTATTTATCCCATAGAAGCTTTTAAGAAAACTATAACTCTCGATGAATTCGGTTGGTACATGTTCTTCACGTATAAGAGAAATGGGACTTCCCGTGTCGATTAGGGTTTCTAATGAGAGGATAAGATTGTTAGTTTGTTTAGTAAATAAATACTCTATTTTTCTTACAAATGACTTTGAATTGCTTGTGCTCTCCAGTGGGTTGATATTCTTGCGTTTCGGACAGTTGATTGAAGTGCGCCCCATCTCAGCGCAGACGAAACAGGATTCAGGTTCCCACTTGCTTTTGCGACATTCATTGGCCGTGTGTCCCTTTGAATTGCAATTATAGCACTTAATTACAATTGCAGATTTATTGGTATCTGCCTGGAGCGTAACTTTGTTGTTGTTCTTGACAAAAATCTGCTTCAATTGAATTTTCCTAAAAGCATCCAATAACTCAGCTGTATTTGAAAATCGTTGCATTTTTGCCTGGTTGCTTAGCGCATAATCCGGTATTCCGTCAATCAAGTGCTCCAGTAGTTCTTCATGACTTAATTTATTTTATTTGATAATATAAGTTTTTCGTAGAAATATTTTTGAAATAATTCATCACTTTGCCAAATTTTCTTTTTTTGAAACTTACGATTCATTGCAAGTTGGGACCCACGATTATCAAAAATGTTTTCCATTTCATAAAGCAATTCATTTACTGGCATTGTCATCGACTCTGAGCAGCTCTGTTGCCATTTGACAGCTTTTCCTTTTAAACGATTGGAAATTAATGCACGTACACTGTGATCATCAAGTTGATAAATATTTTGCAAAGATATAATTTGCTTTTAAAATAGGTGAATGAATATAAGTTATTCGTAGAAATATTCTTGAAATTATTCATCACTTTGCCAAATTTTCTTTTCAAAATTTC